ATTAAATTATTTTCAAAAGAAGTTCAAAGCACAGTTACGTATATATTTTTCTTACTCTATTTTTTGATCAACATAATTTAAGTGTGCCTCAGAAGTTTAACTATAGGTTCAAGGGTGCCGTGAGATAAAAAAGGTTGAAAAACACTGGTCTAGGTAAGTAATACCTGTCTTTCAAAGACATTGCTTTTTTATTGTCCTCAACTGGCAATTTCTTCATCTCCCACACCCTCAGTTCCATGGAGGGCCAGAGAGGGCAGTAACTTTCTTCTGGCTTTTTATCCTCTGGTTTACTAGGATATCTCCAGTCTGTGATCAAAATTAGCTCCAACAGACTCTACCTTTCCTCATCACTACTGAGAATTTTGATTGCTCAAGACAGGAGTTCTTAACCCTGGGGTCCTTGAACCTCCAAAGGGTCTAGGGATAGAATTCAGAGTATTCATAAATATAGATAGGAAAATAATTCATTTTTTTTTCACTCATCTCTAACTGAAGTTTAGCAGCTTCTTCATTAAAAACGTAGGTAACAGGGCAGTGCCTGTGACTCAGTGGGTAGGGCACCGGCCCCATATTCCAAGGGTGGTGGGTTAAAACCCGGCCCCGGCCAAACTGCAACAACAACAACAACAAAAAATAGCCAGGCGTTGTGGCGGGCGCCTATAGTACCAGCTACTCGGGAGGCTGAGGCAGGAGAATCATCTAAGCCCAGGATTTGGAGGTTGCTGTGAGCTGTGATGCCACAGCACGCTACCGAGGGCAATAAAGTAAGACTCTGTCTCAAAAAAAAAAAAAAAAGAAAGAAAGAAAAACAAACATAGGTAACAATAATCTACAGTAATGTTAGGAGTACAAGTGGATGCACTGATATTTTCGTTTCCTATTCTAGTTGCAAATCTCCTAAAATAGCACTTTATATATCACAACTTCTAAATTCTGATAATTATTAAGCCTGCATATAGATATTGTTATTTCAGGAATTGATAGGGATGCAGGTGGATTACTAAATCACAAGTTTTCAATATTTTAGTAATTGTATTTCTAGTATAACTGGTATATATTAGGCATCTAAAAACATTATTTTGAGAATGAGCCTACAGGCTTCACTAGATTGCTAAATGGCCAGCAGCACAAAATAAGCCCTGGTCTAGACAATACTACTAGGCGGTGATCTGGGCTATGAAGACACTACACTCGCACGATAGGATAATGGGATAAACAATGACTGGGGGTTCAACTACTTCAATGTAGTGATCAGGGACAGCTTCTCTGAAAATGTAACATTGGAGCTGCAAGGATGAGAATGAGGGCTCCAAGGAGAGATATGGAAGAAGAGCATTCCAGGCAGAGGGAATAAAAATAATATAATGGTTCTGAGGTGGAAACAAGTCTGTCAAGTCTGAGCTGGAGGAGGAAGGCCAGAGAGGTAGGACTCAATGAATTAAGTGTGAAGAAACTATTCACAATAGTCAAAATCAACTGATTACTAGAGAAAGAAAATCTGGACTATCCATACAATGGACTATTACTCAGCCAAGACAAGAAAAAAATTCTGCAGCATGCTCCCACAAGGAGGACCTTGAAGAAGACATCAGAGTGAATGAACAAAAAAAGGACAAATAGTGTATGATTCCACTTATAGGAAGCACCTAGAATATTCAAATTTCTAGAGACAGAAAATAGAACAGTGGTTACCAGGGGCTGAGGGGAGGAGGAAGTGGGGAGTCATTGTTTAGTGGATTTCCTTTGGGGGTGATGAAAATGTTCTGGAACACTCTGCGGTGGCCACCGGGCAGATCCCATCCTGCTCCCTCTCCTGCCTCCCTCCACTTCCTCGGCCACTATGCCTGACAAACCCAAGGTGACTGAGATGGAGAAATTCGATAAGTCAAAATTGAAGAAGACAGAAACCCAATAGAAAAATCCATTGCCTTCCAAAGAAAACTGATCAAACAGGAGAAGCAAGCAGCCGAGTCTGCAGGAGGTGAGTGCCCCCAAGGCACACCACACATCCCACAAGCATTGTCTTATTTCTTTTAGTTGTTTTAACTTTGTAAGATGCAAAGAGGTTGGATCCAGTTTAAAGGGCTGTGCTGCCCCTTTCACATCAGAGTATTGAGATCTACCCACAGCAAAGGCCACGCCTGCCTCTGTCATCTGCCTGTCTGGCTGGCATGGAAGGCAAAGAACTTGCATGTTGGCGAAGGAAGAAGCAGGGTGGGGCAAGGGTGAAATAGCATAAAACCAAGCTGGCCCAACGTTTCCTGCAGACTGTAAAATGCAATTTAATCAGAGTGCCAAATTTTTTGTTCAAATGATTTTAATTATTGGAATGCACAATTTTTAATATGCAAATAAAGTTTTAAAACCTGAAAAAAATGGCTCAGTGCCTGTAGCTCAGTGGCTAGGGCACCGGCCACATACACCAGGGCTGGCGGGTTGGAACCGGCCCAGGCCTGCCAAACAACAATGACAAC